CACACCACTGCACTCCAGTCTGGGCAACAAGAGTGAAACTCTGTCTCAAAAAAAAGAAACAAACAAAACCACACCGTATAGGAGTTATGAGCCAGGAACCGTGAGTGAAAACTCGTGTGTGTGTGTGTGTGTGTGATATGCTGTCACAATGCTGATCTGCCTTAAGTAAATTTAGCATGAGCACAAAGTCTTTTGAGCTCAATGATTGAATTAAACAAATTGAAAAGCCAATAATCTAGTTTTCAATTTTCAAGTAAATATTGTAGTGCCATAGTATATGGAAAAGACAAGTCTTCATTTTTATATTAAAGGTTAGTTTTGCTTCATCTTAGATTTAGAGTCAAATTCAACTTCTTTGGTTTGGTATTAGGAATAGTGACTTCCATTCTGGTTTCACTCACCTCTTATCTCCAACACAGACACAGACACACACACACACGCGTGCGCGCACATACAGGCACACATTAGAGTCAGTTAGCGTGTCTGACGGGTGTGTTTGAGAACAGTAGCTGAAAGTTCTTTTCGTGGCCTTTGTGGTCAACTATTTGCTGAATCACACACTTCCCAGCACATCCCCCTGGCAATTTATGATAATCAGCCTAGGAGCTCAGTCACGAGCTGCCATGTAAGCTGCTTGGCAAATGCAACTTGCTTCTGGAATTACATTAACTGGGTCCCTTCTTTCTGCCCTGCCCCAAGTCAGTCTTGTCCTTCTTTTAAAAGAATTGAGGGTTTAAAGTAAAATCTCTTTTCTAAATGCCCTGGCTTATCCCTGGTTATTTGAAGAAATTCTCTCTCTCTCTTTCTCTCTCTCTCTCTCTCCTTTTTGAGAGAGCCTTGCACTGTCTCCTGCACTGGAGTGTGGTGGTCCCATCTTGGCTCACTGCAACCTCCGCCTCCTGATTCAAGCAATTCTCCTACCTAGCTGGGATTACAGGCACCCGCCACCATGCCCCGCTAATTTTTTGTATTTTTTTTGAGACGGAGTTTCGCTCTTGTTACCCAGGCTGGAGTGCAATGGCACGATCTCGGCTCACCTCAACATCCGCCTCCTGGGTTCAAGCAATTCTCCTGCCTTAGCCTCCTAAGTAGCTGGGACTACAGGCATGCGCCACCATGCCCAGCTAATTTTTTGTATTTTTAGTAGAGACAGGGTTTCACCATGTTGACCAGGATGGTCTCGATCTCTTGACCTATTGATTCACCCGCCTCAGCCTCCCAAAGTGCTGGGATTACAGACGTGAGCCACCACGCCCAGCTGGAAATTTCTCTCTTTATGAACACAGCCTCACTTAAGTAAAAGCACTTGACGCCACAATGTAGCCATCACTTTCTAACAAGTAAGCATATGGGAAAGCTTGAAGCCATTGACACTTTCTCCTGCAAGCACAGGCACAGAGTCAACAGAGCAGTTGCTGTTGAAAAGAGAATCAAGATACCAAAATACAGTTCTTCTAACACATTAAAAACTGCAGAGATCAGCTTCGTACACCGTGGAGAATTTATTTTGAGGCCAGGGAGGGCATTCTCTCTGAATTCTCAGATGCTTCCGAAAGGTGCCTAAAAGAAGTCACTAGGCTGGGCGCGGGGGCTCATGCCTGTAATCCCGACACTTTGGGAGGTTGAGTTGAGTGGATCGATCACCTACAAGAGTTTGAGACCATGGAAAATTAGCCGGGCGTGGTGGCGCACACCTGTAGTCCCAGCTGCTCAGGAGGCTGAGGCAGGAGAATCGCTTGAACCTGGGTGGCGGAGGTTGCAATGAGCTGAGATCGCGCCACTGCATTCCAGCCCGGGCAGCAGAGTGAGACTCCATCTCAAGGAAAAAAAAAAAAAAAGTAACTAGACTTTTAGAGGCAGCAGAATGAAGTGTGCATGGGGTTGGGGGGGAGAGAGAGTTTGTTTTTTTTGAGACAGAGTTTTGCTCTTGTTGCCCAGGCTGGAGGAGTGCAGTGGCTCGATCTCTGCTCACTGCAACCTCCGCCTTCTGGGTTCAAGCGATTCCCTTGCCTCAGCCTCCTGAGTAGCTGGGACTACAGGCATATGTCACCATGCTTGGCTAATTTTTTGTATTTTAATAGAGATGGGGTTTCAACATGTTGGTCAGGATCTCCTGACCTCGTGATCCACCCGCCTCGGCCTCCCAAAGTGCTGGGATTACAGGCCTGAGCCACCGAGCCCGGCCTGAGATTTTTTTTTAATGTTCTTTTTCACCCACATTCTCTGAGGAATGTGATGTCCCATCTGTTGCTTTACAGGGTTGGAGACTTTTGGCCTCAGCCTGTGTGAAAGGCGGCAGCTAGACGTGCAGTGGTGGACGGGGTTTATATTAAGGAAATATAATTTTCATTAACACTTCAGTGTTGCTACTGACATCGATGGTAATACTTGGTAGGAAAAGGAAGAAGGCTCTGTCTCAAAATGTGTTTTTCATGGATTCTCCCTAGAGTCAGAAGTATCTCTTCTTCTCTCTCTTTCCTGTAGAGTGGCTCACCGCTTTTCCTGGGGCGTTCTGGCCAGCATCCATGGAACTGGGAATGGTTTTGGGGACTTTTGCAGTTTGCATGCATTGACTTTTGCCTCTCAGCTGGGTGTAGTGGGAAAGAGCTTAATGTATTTTATGAAGCCACATGCAGACGTCGGCACCGCCCGTGGCTGCAGGCTTTGCTTATGGCCTTCTTTCAAGGAGTACCTGGGGCTTTCTGGCTTCTTATTTATATTTGTGTCTGCAGGGTGCGACACCAGAGGATTTCAGCAACCTCCCACCTGAACAAAGGAGGAAAAAGCTGCAGCAGAAAGTCGATGAGTTAAATAAAGAAATTCAAAAGGAGATGGATCAAAGGTATAGTGCATCATTATGACTTATTAAGAAATTCAAGGCCAGACACAGTGGCTCAAACCTGTAATTTGGTAGGCTGAGGTGGGTGGATCACCTTAGGTCAGGAGTTCGAGACCAGTCTAGTCAATGTGACAAAACCTCATCTCTACTTAAAATATAAAAACTAGCCGTGTGGTGATACATGCCTTTAATCCCAGTTACTCGGGAGGCTGAGGCAGGAGAATCACTTGAACCTGGGACACAGAGGTTGCAGTGAGCCGAGATCGCGCCAGAGCACTCCAGCCTGCACAGCAGGCGAGACTCTGTCTCAAAAAAATAAAAATAAAAAATAATTAAATTTTAAATTTAAAAATAAAATTCAAGTTCAAGCTGGGCGTGGTGGCTCACGCCTGTAATCCCACCACTTTGGGAGGCTGAGGCTGGAGGATCGCTTGAGCCTGGGAGTTCAAGACCAGCCCAGGCAACATAGCAAAACCCCTAAAAAAAGAAAAAGACTAGCCAGGCATGATGGTGTGCACCTGTAGTCCCAGCTATTTGGGAGGCTGAAGTGGGAGGATCACCTGAGCCCAGGAGGCCCTGGCTGCCATGAGCCATGAGCCATGATCATCTCACTGCATTCCAGCCTGGGCAGCAGAATGAGACCCTGTCTAAAAAAAAAAAAAAAGAGAGAGAGAGACCAGCCTGGGCAACATAATGAGACCCTATCTCTACAAAAATAAACAAAAGTAGCTGGGCGTGATGGGGTGTACCTGGGAGGCTGAGGTGGGGAGGATTGCTTTAGCCTGGGAGGTGGAGGCTGCAGTGGGCTATTTGCTTAAGAATCAAAACCCTCATTCCCTATGACTCATGGGAAAAAAGAAAAAGGAAAAAAGGAAAAGAATCAAAACCGATTTGCCATAAAGCAGAGATATGCCACAGAGGAGGAGGGCTTCTGTGAAGGGAAGGTGCATTCATTAAAACAGCTGTAGGAAAAGCAAATCAAACAACACACACACACACACACACACACACCCTCACTACTAGGATCAAGAGCTACGGATCTATCTCAAGAAGAATGCCACTGCATTCCAGCCTGGGCAATGGAGCAAGACCTTGTCTCCAAGATCAAAGCACAAAGTAGGATGAAAGATATTAAATAGCAAGCACTCCAGATACCCTGGGGTCAGATCTGGCTCTGCACTTAACTACTGCTGATATGGCAATGTGCATAACACGCTTCAAACAGTGCTTGCCACATAAGTGTCTGGGAAACAAAATGAATCAATATGGCCAGGCACTGTGGCTCGCACCTGGAATCCCAGCTCTTAGGGAGGCAGAGGCAGGAGAACAGCTTGAGCCCAGGAGTTTGAGAGCTTCCTGGGTAATATAGCAAGACCCTGTTCTCCACAAAAAGGAAAAAAACAAAAAGACCAAAAAA